ACAGACCCATAGCGGGCATGTCGGGAAGGCGGGCCTAGGCGACCAGGTCGAGCAGGCGGGTTGCTGAATCGTGGGTCCTGTGTGAATCGCGAGGAAGTCTCGAGCGACAGCGAGATTCCCAAGTACATAGCAAGAAAAGCCAAAACGAGAGCGTGATTCCTAAGCGCCGAGGGCGCATCGTTTGAATAAACTTTGAGGAAATCCCAAGCGAAAGCGAGATTCGTATACAATTTGTAAGGAAGTCCCGCGCGAGAGCGCGATTTGGGAATTCATTGTGGGGAAGTATCAGGCCGGAGCCGCTGTTGTTGTAACTCGGAGGCTAACAACCCAGTTTGAGCCCAGCGATTTTCCATGATGAAGAAAGGGGTGCGAGCCTCGGGGAAGGCATTTAGATGGAAAAACTACAATGGTCACCGGAGGGTGGGATTAATAGCATTACTATACAACAACAATCATTCTAAGAATGTTCGCTCTTACGTGCTCGTGCGTCATTCAAAACGAGCTCCCCCACACCCTCGATACCCGCCCTTTTTTGTCTTCGATCACACCCCCTTTGGGAGGATTCTTTCTCTTTGCGGGGGGCGGCGGGCTTAGGCAGGCGGGCAAACCTGAACGGGCGGACAATCCTTCGTGGGCGTACATGTGCCCGCCATTGGAATTGGTGTGGGCCCTGCAAAAGGAGGGGGGGGAGCACGAGGGAGAGTGGGAGGAAGGGAGGGGGAGGGACGAAGGAAGAGGGAAAAAGCCAGGAGAGAAGGAGCGAAGAGGGGGGCGGTTGATTAGAGGCAGAGAGACCGAGAGAGAGAGAGAGAAACAGAGAGAGAGAGAGAGAACAAACAAAATCATGAACAACAAACGAGAGAGAAAGAGAGGTAGAGAAAGAGAGGGAGAGAGAGAGAGAGAGAGAGGAGAGAGAGAGAGAGAGAGAGAGAGAGGGGAGAGAGAGAGAGAGAGATAAATAATAAGGGAGGGAGGAGGCAGGAGAGGGGAGGCAGAAAGGAGGAGGGAGAGGTGGGAGAGGGAATAGGGCCAAGCTAGGTGCGCTCGCGTCATATCTCACATCCCACCCCTCCCTCCCATCCCTTACCATGGCGTAGATCCCCTCTCTACTCGCACAGTCGGATGTCGAGCAGGGCGATGATCCAGAAAGGGTACGCGATGCATTGTAGAGCATGGCGTGGCATGGCGTTGAAGAGCACCGCAAAGTGTAGTATGTCACAGCATGGCGTGGCGTGGCGTAGTGAAGAAGTGCATCACAAAGCTTCGCAACGCAAAGCATGGCATCGCACAGCGGCCCCGAACATAACATTGCATAGCATGGCGTTGAATATCAAAGCGTAGCATGGCATAGCACGACGTGGCACGTAAGCACTGCATATCACAGCTTCAGTTGAAGGCATAGCATCGCGCAGCGGAACGCAACCTAGCATTGCATTGCATGCCATGCCGTGGCATGGCACGGCAAATGACGCCAACGCTGCAGCGGGAGCACGATTCGGAACGAGCGGAAGCGCAGAAATAAGGGCAGCGCTGCAGCGGGAACACGATTCGGAACGAGCGGAAACACGGAAATGAGGCCAGCGCTGCAGCGGGAGCACGATTCGGAACGAGCGAGGCCCGAAAATGAGGCCGGCGCTTCAGCGAGAGCAGCATTTTGAAAAATCCATGCGGGCGAAAACCCAACTCCGGGGAATCCTGTGTAAAAAACAGTACGCGGGGGGGGGGGGGGGAACACTCCCAACCCGTGATCAGGGGAAGGAGGAGAGTAGTATTCATATTGGGTAATTTTAAAGAGGCATAAGGATGAGGGAAGACAGGAGGGAGAGAGAAGGGAGGAAAGAAGGGAGGAGGGAGAGGGACGAGGAGCAGGAAGTTAAGAGCGTGAACGTTCGAGGGGGTCCTAGGCGAAAACGCCGTTCCTGAAGGAAGCCTCGGGCGGGAACCCACGACGGGCGGGCGATCCCCTGACGGGCGGGTCGGGCGGGTGGGACATTCAAACGGGATGCTTGAGTATGGCGAGAGCGCGATTACTACGTAAATTGTAACGGCGTCCTTGGCGCAGCGTGTTTCCTGAGCGTCGAAAGCGCGGTTTCTGAATAACTTGCATGGAAGTCACAGGCGAGAGCGCAATTCCAGAGTACAATGTGAGGGGCTCTCTGGCGGGAGCGGGGGTGTTGATTAAATTGCAAGGAAGTCTTGAGTCAATTGCGAGGAAGTCTCAAGCGGGAGCGCCGTTCCTGAGTAAATTTTGAGGAAGTCTCAGATGGGAGCGGGGGTCCTGACTAAATTGCGAGGAAGTCACGAGAGCACCGATCCTGGGTAAATTGTAAGGAAGTCTCAGGAGCGGGGGTCTTGAGTAAATTTTGAGGAGCTCTCATGCGGGAGCCGTTGCTGTTGTACTCCGGGGGGCCAGGGGCCCAGTTTGAGCTTCAAGACCTTCCCTGATAAAGAAACAAGGTGCGAACGTCGAGGGGCACACTTTCATTGAGAAATAATAGTATGCACCGGTGGGGGGATCAACAATGATAGTTCTTCAGAAATGAGAGTTCAACGACAATAACAACAGCAACAGCAACAGCAACCACAACAACAACAACAACAACAACAACAACAACAACAACAACAACAACAACAACAACAACAACAACAACGGCAGCAGCAACAGCAGCACCAGCAGCAACAGCAGCAGCACCAGCAGCAGCAACAACAACAGCAGAAACAGCAACACCAACAGCAACAGTAACAATAACAACAAGGAACAAACAAAAGTGGCGGGTGCTCCCCTCTTTCCCGCGCGTCCCTTCGTCGAGACAACTGCACGGCGGGAGGTGTTCGGCCGTTCTGGGCCTCCAGATCGTGAGTCCGTCAGCAGGCATCTGTACCTGCAAAACGACCGGGAGGAAAATTTGTCCTGAGGATGGCGTCCAGGCCTTTGGGGGTCGAAGCTGCGAAAAAGTCGCGACGTCGGCGTTCTGGGCGTGGCGGCGCGCCAATTTGGGGTGGCGACAGGGGCGCGCCCATTTGGGGTGGCGACAGGGGGTGGCTTTCTGGAAAGCCAAGGGGGGCTCCTGGAAGGCAGGGGGTCGTTTTCGAAGGCCCCGATGGCCTTTAGGATTGGCCCCTTCCGGTCGGGAGCTCTTCGATAGCGCGTCGCTCCGCCGGCCCTGGCCCACCACGCGTCGGCGCGGCACGCTGTTCACCTCCCGGTCCCCCGGGCGTCCACGTCCCGAGCCTTTCCCGAGCCTCCCGCCTTGCGGGCCGAAACGACACGCTGTCCGCTTGCACGGCAAGGCGTGTCGCCGGGGCCGCCGCCGCGACACGCTGCTGAGGCTGCTGGCAAGTTCCTGACCGCAGGAGGCCCCGGGGGCTTTTCGCATCGGCTCCCTAGAAGCTGGGAGGGCTTCCGAGAAGCCCCTGCCTGCGCAGAAGCCCCCCCCCCCCCTCCTGACGCCGAGGCCACCTCGCGTCACCCCCACGGGCGCGCTACTGGGTTCCGTCTCGGGCCCCCGGGCCTTCACAGATCGACCTGGGTCGGGAGGCCCTGCGTCAGGGGAAACGGAGCTGGGGCCATACAAGTCAACGATGACTGGGGTCAACCTGGAAGACACCAAACCACCGAGGTTGTTGTAGAAGAGGATCAACCGTTCTTCGCCGGAGAAGTAAGTATTTAAATAATAGATACATAAAAAAACGAAGAAAGGGTAGGATCGAGAGCCTCGGGCGAGATTTCTCAAGACGTTGTGGCTTCTGCCGCGACGTCAGGTGGCGGGCATGGGTCGATGTTCAAAGGTTCGCTGCGTCGGAGAATCGGCTTGCGAACGTGGCCGAAACTGTTTCTTGCCTGGGGGCAGGACGTGTCCGCCCGAGCGGTCGCAGCGATGAAGATGGAGGTGGTGGACACGCCACCTCCGCCAACGGACAGAAGCCGTACGCCTGTGTTTTTCCAAATCAGATTTCGAGGGGGGGGGTGCTGGCAAGGGTTGGGGGATGCGCATGCCAAGGCCCCAGGGCCAGCCCCAGGACGGCTCCACGAAGTGCCATTCATTACCGCCTGAAGATTGCCCCGAGACGCCACCAGACGGCGCCCCAGCCTCCGACGGGGCCGCAGCAGGCCCGAAGGGGCCCCGAGATGTCTCCAAGAGGCCTCGAGCGATCACAAAGCGGCCCCAAGAAAGGCCCAGGATGGCTCAAGAGACTCCCTCCTCCGTCTCGCCGTCATCCTCTTCCTGTCTCTTGCCGCTCCCTCGTGCAAGAGAGCCGCGTGCCATTCGTTTTCGTGGATCCGTTGCTCGTCCTCCCCTTCCCTCGGCCCCCTGCTGAGGCCATCATCCTCCGACTCCTTGTCATCCTCCTTCCTCTGACTCCCGCGCCCAATTCAAACCTTCTTCGTCTGGCATGCTGCATCTTGCATGATCCCGCGCACGCGTGCCCGTGCCCCTCGTCCAGTCTTGAGTGTTGACGGCTCGGAGGAGCCTGAGGACATTTCATTCGGTGTCTACGGCACGGTGGCGGAATTTGCTAGGAGGTTCGGGGTTCTAATCCGCGTGGCCGGGAGAGTTGGCTCGGTGGGCCCTGGTCTTACGTGACCCTTCGTGGCCTGTCGTGGGTTCGTCTTGCTCTTGGTTTCTTGTCGAGTATCTCCAGGCCCTCGGCGGGGCCTCTCGTGGCCCCTCTTCGTGGCTCCCCGCCGTAGCTTCTCGTGCTCTTTGCCACTCGTCGCGGCCCCTCGCCGTGGCCTCTGGCGGCCGCTCGGTGCGACCCTCGACGTGCCCCCTCGACGCGGTCCCCTCGTGCCTCCTCGTCGTTGCCCCCCGCGGCTCCTTGGCATTACTTGTTCAAGGTTTCCATGCTGGCTGAGGTGTTGCACAGCAACAGTCAGTCTCCAGGCCTCCTTCCCCAGAAATGCGATGTCTGGATTTGTTTCAGTACGCAGTCCCCGCAGAAGTCCCGACCCTTTCCCCCGGGGACTGGTTTTTCAGCCCGAGTAGTTCTTTTACGGTCCCGAGGCCAGGCAAGGGCCTCCAGAGGTCGAAAACGCCTAAAAGCCCTTGCCCTGACTCCGGATCTGCAGCATTGTGGGCGATGCTGCAAGTCGGGCAGAAGTTTCCGCCCTGCTTTTCGAGCTCCTTTGACGTCGATTCCCGCCAGGCCCTCCCCCTCAGAAGTCGTGGGGGGCAGGGGCCGGGCTCGCACGCGACCCCCCCGTTCTTTGGCACGCCGCAGCGTGCTTGGGCCCGTGCCCTGCCGCCCCCCCTCGCTCGGAGGCGGCTGACGAGCGCGGACCTGGACGCGTGGGCCCGGGGGCCCACCGTCCGCGGCCACGCGCACAGCAGGCCCACCTTCGAGCGGTACGGCCTCTCCCTCGTGCGCGAGGTGGGCGGCGGCGCCGCCGTGCCGGAGGACTGGGCCGTGAGGCTGCTGTCGGCCACGGGCGCCAAGGGCAGCGAGGGCCCGAACCAGGACTCAAGTCGGGCTCCGGCCTGCGTGCACCGGCCTGGAGGTCCAGGCGCTGCATTTCTGTCCACAGCAGGTGGTGCTGGTCGTGATTGTTAGCGATGTTGAAATCAATTCTTGTGAAGGCCTTACGGCCGGTGCCGCCGACCCAGAAGGACGACGATGACGACGACCACGACGACAACGATAACGGCGAGCTGACGACCCTGCCATAAGCTCGGGACATGGGGCGGGCGGTGGAGGGAGGAGAGGGAGAGGGAGGAGGAGGAGGAGGAGGAGGAGGAGGAGGAGGAGGAGGAGGAGGAGGAGGAGGAGGAGGAGGAGGGAGGAGAAGGAGGAGGACCAGTGCAAACCCAAGAGTCACCAACGATGTTGGAACAAACCCTCTCTCCAAGCTCCCTGTTTATAGACCCCTCTAACGGTTCACTTCCACTCAGGGAACTGCCTCGTTGGAAGACAACCGCTTGAAGACCCTGAAGCATGCCAAAGCATTATTCTCGGGACTCCAACGCCACGAATCAACCTGACTGTTGCGTCTTGGCGATCCTGAGTCGAGCCAGAACGCCATTCCTGAGATTTCAACACCGCGAATCAAAATAACTGCTGAACCCTCATAATCTTGAATCCTTCCAAAACGCCGTCTCTGGTACGCTGATCAACATGGGAACCCGCGCACCACTTGCACATGATTTTTTATACAAAAAACGAATGCGCGCGGCGCTAAGGCGACAGCCACATTTTGAAACCACCCGCCGTCAATCCGTGAAACTCATGCAAATGTTTTAAACGAATGTGCGCGGCGCTAAGGCGACAGCCACATTTTGAAAACGGCCCGCCCTCAATCCGTGAAGCTGTTGCACATATATTTTACAGCGAATGTGCGCGGCGCTGAGGCGAGAGCCACATTTTGAGAACGACCCGCCCTCAATCCGTGAAGCACTTGCTAATTTGTTTTACAGCGAATGCGCGCGGCGCTAAGGCGACAGCCACATTTTGAAAACCACCCGCCCTCAATCCGTGAAGCTCTTGCAATCTTTGTTTAACGAATGGGCGCGGCGCTAAGGCGAGAGCCACATTTTGAAAACGACCCGCCCTCAATCCGTGAAGCTCTTGCGAATTATTTCATAACGAATGTGCGCGGCGCTAAGGCGAGAGCCACATTGAAAAAACGGACCGCCCTCCATCTGTGAAGCGGTTTCCAATGTTCAGTCCAGCTTTAGCGTCATCAATGGTGAGGAAGTATCAGGCGAAACGCCCGGTCCGCCCTAAAAACTAGCTTCGGGTTGCGACAGGGACTAATTGTTTTCAGGACAAAGAGAAGAGGAGGGGGAGGAGGAGGAGGAGGAAACTCGCTCTGCGTAGGCCCCTACAACGGTTCATTTCCACTCAGGGAACTGCCTCGTTGGAAGACATCTGTTTGAAGATCCTGAAGCATGCCAAAACATTTTTCCCATGACTTCAACGCCACGGATCAACCTGGACGTTGCGTCTTGACGTTCCTGAATCGCGCCAGAACGCCGTTCCTGGGACTTCACTTCAGCTCCGCGAATCAAGGAAACTGTTGCGCCCTGGTAGTCTTGAGTCGTTCCAAAATACCGTCTCTGGTAAGCTGACCATGAGAATCCGTGGAACTCTTGTATTTGTTTGAACGAATGTGCTCGGCGCTGAGGGGAGTGCCGCATAGGAGCCACCCTCAATCCGTGAAGCTCTTGCAAATTTGTTTTACCACGAATGTGCGAGGCGCTAAGGCGACAGCCACATTTTGAAAACGACCCGCCGTCAATCTGTGAAGCTCTTGCAACTTTTGTTTAACGAATGCGCGCGGCGCTAAGGCGAAAACCACATTTTGAAAACGACCCGCCATTAATCCGTGAAGTTCTCTTTTGCATATTTTTTTTACAGCGAATGTGCGAGGCGCTAAAGCGAGAGCCACATTTTGAAAACGACCCGCCCTCAATCCGTGAAGCTCTCTTCTGCAATTTGGTTTTGCAGCGAATGTGCGCGGCGCTAAGGCGAGAGCCACATTGAAAAAACGACCCGCCCTCCATCTATGAAGCTGTCTACTCTGTTAATTTAAGCTTCAGGGTCATAAGTGGTGAGGAAGTATCAGGCGGAACGCCCGGCCCGCCTTAAAAACTAGCTTCGGAGTGCGACGGGGAGCACTTGCTTATAAGGAAAAAGACGAGGAGGAGGAGGACCAGTGTAAACCCAAGAGTCATCAACGATGTTGGAAGAAACCCTTTTTCCAAGCTCGCTCTGCGTAGGCCCCTACAACGGTTCATTTCCACTCAGGGAACTGCCTCGTTGGAAAACATATGTTTGAAGATCATGAAGCATGCCAAAACATGACTCCCATGACTTCAACGCCACGGATCAACCTGACCCCTGACCGTTGCGTCTTGACGATCCTGAATCGTACCGGAACGCCATTCCTGGGACTTCAGTTCCGTGAATCAACGTGACTGTTGCACCCTGGTAATTCTGACTCATTCCAAAACACCGTCTCTGGTACGCTGACCATGAGAACCAGTGGAACTCTTGTATTTGTTTGAACGAATGTGCGCGGCGCTGCGGGGAGTGCCGCATTTTGAGAAGGAGCCGCCCTCAATCCGTGAAGCTCTTGCAAATTTGTTTTACAGCGAATGTGCGCGGCGCTAAGGCGAAAGCCACATTAAAAAATCGGACCGCCGTCAATCTGTGAAGCTCATGAAAATGTTTAAAACGAATGCGCGCGGCGCTAAGGCGAGAGCCACATTTTGCAAGCGACTCGTCTTCAACCCGTGAAGCTCTTGCACTTGTTGTTTAACGAATGTGCGCGGCGGTAAGGCGATAGCCACATGTTGAAAACCACCCGCCCTCAATGCGTGAAACTCATGCAAATCGCTATGGCGAGAGCTACATTTTGAAAACCACCCGCCCTGAATCCGTGAAGCCCTTGCCAATGTTTAAAACGACTGGGCGCGGCGCTAATGCGAGAACTACATGTTGAAAACCACCTGCCCTCCGTTTATGAAAATGTTATCAACTGTTGATCACCAGGGTCATACATGGTGAGGAAATCTCAGGCGAAACGCCCGGCCCGCCCTAAAAACTTGCTTCGGGGTGCGACAAGGAGAAGTTCTTCATAAGGCAAAAAATTGGTTGTGGAGGAGGGGGAAGATAATGATGATGATGAGGAGGAGGAAGAGAAGGCGGAGGAGGAGGAGGAGGATCGCACACCATTGATGGGACAGAGAAAGAGAGAGAGTCCGAGGAGTCCAAATTGGCCTCGGGGGGGCCATCAGCGAGGACCTTGTCTGACACCCTGTCAGGGGGCAAAACCCTGCCAGGGATCAACGACAGGGAACTCCCTAGGAACAAAAACTCGTTTTCATCCTCTAATGGCAGGTCGGTGGCCTGCTGCTTGCCACGAAGTTAGGTGTCGAGGTTCCGTGCCTCCCCTTCGTTCAAGCCGAAAGCCTGGAGGCAACCAGACAGGCACAACTCGTGCCAATCGAAAAGCCGTGGAGCAGGTGCGCCCCTCCCTCCTCCAGGCTGGGCCCCAACACCGCTTTCCACGAACCTCACCGCGAACAGCTCCCGCACCTGGACCCTAGGGGTGCACCCAGGGCCCAGCCTGAAGGGTCGGTTGGGATGCCTCAAACGAGAAATGCTGGATTTGTTTTTGCGGCCCGACCCGACAAGGGCCACCTGCGACCCCAGGCAAGGGCCTGTCAAACCTTTGGCTCCTTGGGAGGCCGTGGCGTAGTCACCACACGTGGAACAAAACAGAAGCGGCGGGGCCCCGTCCAACAAAACAGGAGACTGAAGCAGACAGTGTCCACCCTTTCTCCAGGGGGTCTCGCCATGCTCGCCTTGCACCCAAGACACATCTTCCACCTCCGGGGCAGACGACGACGAGGCAGGCTGGCTGGGACACAGGAGGGGGAGGCCAAGATGGAGGAGCAGAAGACGCAGCAGCATCGGCAGCCCCTTCACGCCGAGCCGCCTCCAGGGTCCCATCCCAACCAGCATCTCCTTCAAGGGACGTCAAGCTGAGGCCCTGAGCTCCAACATTGTTGAAGCGGCCTTCGTCGCTGTAAAAAAACCTCCGGCCGGGTGATGAATTTCAAAACCAGGCGAGCCGAACATAACATTCCATTCGCTAGCAGGGTATTCTGCGCATCGTGGCGACTGAGGGCGCCCCCCTGTTTTGCAAGACGGTCCGCTTCGTGATTTCCCGCCCGCTCAAACTCCGACAACCGCCCCTCCCGCACATCCACCATCGAGGCGTGAGCCATCACCCTTGTTAAACGTGGCTCCTGAGGAGCCATCGTCATTTAAAATATGGCCCCACAAGTGGGCGCGGATGTTGGTTGCTCGGCAGGCATACACGCGATCATGGCAGAACGGCAAGGTGTTCCGGCAGTCCGAGTACAAAGTGTTAGTTCCACCTAAATTTCGAGGCCATGCAGACAGCGTAGTCCTCGCCGTCCCTGGCCACCTAATCGGGGCAAGAGGTAGGGGGGGACCGAGCCGCACCATCCCGCAACCAATCGGCGCTAATGGTCATAGACGGCAATGTCCCATTCAGCCCGGCGAAGCGAGGGGAACAGGCCATCCACGCCTGAGCCATCGCAAAAAGCATGGCCTCCTTGGAGCATGAGCGACGCACCCGCTCCTTCAACCCTGAACTCTGTGGAAGGATCCCAGGGTTTCCTTGCGAGGAGCTGGCAGGGAACAGGAAGGATGCCTCTCGCAAACCTCTCCTGAAGCTCGACCGAAAACTGAGACACGCGACTGGCGGCGGCCGCAACCTCCGATGGGAGGTTGTCACTTCGCCAGGCCTCGCGAGCAGGGCAAGCGAAGTGCTTGTGAAAAAGCGTGCCCCGCTCTCCGCAGAGCAGGCACTGAAATGGCAGTTGCTGGTCGTACAAATGCAAGGCCCCTCAGAGTGCGCTGCTCTCTGAATCTCCAGGTCCCCCCCGTCCCCACCTCGCCCGAGTCCTCGACTCTCTGGTGAAGGA